GAGTGTTAATCCATTATGTTGGCCTTCTTGAGTTTGCTTTGCTGGAAGTTACCGTCAGGATTTCAGGTTGTACTTTTGAAAGCATCTTATTTGTTGTCCTGAGTCCAGGAAGCCAAGAACCCACCATGTTTCACCTGCTGGATTATTTCAAGCAAATTCCTTTTTTCTTGAGCTTTCCAGAATATCCTGAGGCTCCTGGACTTGCCAGGAGATGAACTTCCTTATCCCCCTATGAGGCTGGCACCTGGCAGTTTTCCTGGGGAGGCCTTGTGAGCCTCGATCCCTGAGCTGCAGATCCTTAAACATGCTGGGTCCTGGTGACTGAATGAGTATCATTCTCCCTTGTGGCCACCCAGGCAAGGCCTTGGCTGTGCAATCCATGTTGCCAGTTAAATCCTGATAGAAACAAGAACAGATTCCCTTTGAACCTACACAGATTATAATATTGCCAGGAAAGGAAGAGTACTAACAAGAGTTTCCAAGTTCTGGAGGGCTCAGATTTAAGAGAACAAGATACCACTTAGAAATGTTTCATTTCAGTTTATAAAACCAGAGGCCACTAAATTTGTGTGGATTACAGACAGCTTAAGGGTTTCCCAGATGGCTCAGTGGCAAAGAATCCACCTGCCAGTTCAGGAGATACAGGGTACTTGAGTTCAATCCCTGGGTCAGGAAGATCCCCTGGAAAAGGAAATGGCAACCCACTCCAGTATTCTTGCCTGGGAAATCCCATAGACAGAGGAGCCTGGCAGACTACAGTCCATGGGGTTGCAAAGAGTCAGACATGACTTAGCAACTAAAACCACCACCACAGACAGCTTAAGGGGAAAGAGAAAGGGTTCCTTGTGTATCTAGAAAGAGCATTAAAGTCACATGTACAGTGTTCCCAGTAGCAGCTGCATTGTCCCTTGCCGGTTTCTTCAGTCCTAGGTGATTAATCCTTATTTACTCTGTCTTGGTTCTGAAATCTCAACAATCCATCTGCTGCTTTACTAGAGTTCTGGAAATCCTGAGTCAGGCCACTGGATGGCCTCACGGTGGTCTAAGCAATGCCCATGACAGTGTTTTCCCACTGTGCTGGCCTGACTCTCTTTTTTCTTCTATTTCTCTCTCTCTTTTTTTTACTTTTCATTAAAGTAAACCAAACTCTTTGTAGTTGTTCACTGAAGAGAAAATGCACAATCTAAAAGTGGAGAATTGGGTTATATTCAAGAATATTCCTGAGGACTACAGTCCACTGTTGCTGAAGCTGAAGCTTCAATACTTTGGCCACCTGATGCAAGCAGCCAGCTAGTTGGAAAAGACCCTGATGCTGGGAAAGATTGAAAGCAGGAAGAGAGGAGGAGGATGAGATGGTTGAACAGCATCACCAATGCAATGGACATGAACTTGAGCAAACTCCAGGAGATGGTGAGGGACAGGGAAGCCTGATGTGCTACAGTCCATAGGGTTGCAAAGAGTTGGGCATGACTTGGCAGCTGAACAACAGTCCGGGAAGGTGGCCTATCTGATGGCTCTGAGAGACTGTTCTACACAGGTCAAATAGGAGAACGGGATATGAAGGAGTTTTTGCTAAAACAATATATATGTAGCCAAACAATGAAAGATTACTACTAATCACAAAAAAACCAGACATCTCGAGGATTTTAGTGCCTTTTTATATATGGGAAGATGCAAGAGTCTGGGCCCATTGAAACCATTCCTCTGATATGCATCTGAATTCTCTAGGGCCAATATCCTGTCTTTGTCCATTCTGAATCCCATTAGGGTGCACAGTTGGGATAGCTGCAGCAGCTGGTTGCTTGTTTGCAGGCAATATTCTCTGTTTATTGAAATGGCAGACCACAGGTTTTTTTTTTTGTCCACATGGATGACAAAGACATAATATGGTCATGGTTAACTTATACTACTGATAATTTTCAAAAGTGAAAGATCTGATGGGAGTTCATAACAAGAAAAGTGCCACTGAGAAGTTATATTTTGTTGTTTCTGTGCCATGCAAAACAAAGCCCCCCCCCCCAAAAGTTTTAGATAAAGTTAATCTAAGATGTTTATTCCTGTTTTTAAAGAAGACTGTGAACACTATATCTAATTTCTAAAAATCAATGAACATAATTTTTATAGAGGAAAAGTTCCTGCGATATGACACAAAATAATCCTGAAACATAATGTACCAAGACTATCAAGCAGGGAGTCAGGAGTTGTGGGGCAGGTCCTGACCATCTGCATACCAAGTATGAGATGTGAAGGCCCAGCTGCGAACTCCTGGCCTCCAAAACGCTGGATTCAAGTTAAAGAAGGAAGGTTGTGACCAGGTAAATATTTAAAACAGTGACTGAGTCTACCAATTTTTAAGCTCTATGCCCCTGTTCCCTCATGGCACTGGGCAGATACTTTAGACGAGATCGGGCGCTTTCAAGGTGGTATGGCCATAGAGTGGGCAGATACTTTAGGACTCTGATGAAGAAAAACCTGACAGGCACCCAGGACCCTGACAGATCTCTGGAAAGTTCCTCAAACACATGATGTGACTAACATTTTACCAACAAATACTAAATGGGATTGACTGAACATTTCTTCAGACTCAGCAACTCTTCTCATGAAACTCATGGATAATAATGCCTCAAATAAGCCTAATTATTTCTAACACTTCTAAGAACAAATCTTTGTGATTTTTCCAAGGCATGAAGATAATTTTAGGTGAAAAGAGTATCCTGGAAGTTTTATCTCATTTTTACCCCTAGGATTCAGTTTGAAAAGGAAAATTATCAAAGGCTGTCAGGAGATTTGAATACTAAAATAGGATTACAGATGCCTGGGAAACAACAGTATTTGTCTACTCAGGTGAAAGTGACAATAAACATTTAAAAATAAACACAGAAGTTAATGTCATTGTAAAGAACTTTAGTTCTCCCATAAGGGAGGTAGCTTTGCGTCTTTGTTTTTAATAATGAAATGCAATAAAGTCAACATAAAGCAAAGAAAACTGTTCTGGTCTTCTAGACATTTTCTAAAAATGGAAGCATGCATCGTGTGATCTTTTATGTCTGACTTCTTTCACTGAACATAATGTTTTTGAGGTTTGATCACATTGTAGTGTGTGTCAGTGCTCCATTTCTTTTTATGGCTGAATAATATTCTCTTGTATAGATAGACTACAGTCTGTCTATCCATTCATTAGTAATAGACATTTGGGATTTTTTTTTTTTCTGTCTTTTGGTTATTGTGAATAATACTTCTATGAAAATTCTTGTACAAGTTTTTGTTTAAATGTGTTCTCAGTTCTTTAGATATATACCCAGAAATGGAATTGCTGCAGTGACATGGTAATTCAATGTTTAACTCATTGAGGAGCCACCAAACGGTTTTTGACTGTAGCTGCATTTTGCTTTCCCACCAGTAATATATGAGGTTCTGATTTTCCACATCCTCAACAACACTTACTTCCTGTCTTTTTGTTTTTGTTTTTATTTTGGCTGAACCTGTAGCATATGGAGTTTCCCTGACCAGGGATTGATCCCATGCCCTCTACTGTGGAAGCACAGAGTCTTAACCACAGGACCACCAGAGAAGGTCCTCTGTCTTTTTTATTTTAGCCATCCTAGTAAGTGCAAAGTAGTATCTCATTGTGATTTTGATTTTGCATGTCCTTAGTGACTAACGATGTTGAGCATCTTTTCATTGTCTTGTTACCCATTTCTGTAACTTCAGAATTGATAGCCTTTAAACTGAGGTATTATAAACTAAGGAAAGTATATTCATTTCCAAATGTTGTTCTTCATATGTCTTTTTATCATCTGGAAAAAACATACATTACTTTAGGCCTCATCTCAGAAGGACCACGGTGGCAAAACTAATTTCATAACTACTCAGATGTTAATAACATGCAATATGTCCATCATCATTATCTTTAAATGAATGGAGAAATAAGCTTTTGAAAAATTTCTCTGCTTCAGTTTCCAACATTGTAAATAGCAGTAGTTATTAACCAAAAACAGTAAAACAGCCAGTAATTTTACCTGCCAAATGAATTTATTCAGGAGCAGCAAAGAATTGCAATTTGGGACATGCAACTACAATGAACCACATGCAAGTAATGTTGAGGCAAAGGAGGGGAACCTCTTTGATAGAGAAGGGGAAGTTGGGAGGAGCTGTTAAAAACAGAGTCCATTGGAAGAAATTGGAACTTCAAAGCACAGTGGCTTTTATTGGCTGGGCCATTGCCAAGCAGTGATAAAATCTTCCTCCAGCTGCCAGCAGTGTTACTTCCTTCCAGAGATGCAAGGTGGTCTCTTCTGTTGAGATCTGCACTGATGTGCGTGGGATGTGAGTAAGAGCTCCCCTTCTGGCCTCCCAACTCCATTTTAGTGAGGATCCCATGATTAATTTTCGCATAAATCACACACACACCAAAAAAACACACAAAAAAAACAACTTGGGGGTCCTCAATAACCTTGTATTTAACCAAATTAATTTGTTATTCTGAAAAACTGTTATTTCAATGGTAATTTCTCTCTTGTAGTATGTCAGCTTAAAGATAAATTTCTAAGGTTTTCAGGTAACATAACCCAAACTGAGTTAACAAATGAATGTTCACTTGATGCCTAGATCATATCTGATTAAGGCAGACTGCTGAAGCATTGATTACAAGAATAATCCTTGAGCCATACATATGTAAACTTTTGCTTCTTATTTTTCTATGCTGCAGAGAGGGTATGTCTTTGGGTCTGTTAATGGATGTGCTCATGTCTGCCACTCTGAGAAGCTGTGTCAAGGGTATGTGCCTTTATAGAATGTTTCTGTGTGTTCTGAAGTCTGCTGAAATGCTGCCGTTCACACCTGTCCATTCACCACCCCCACCCAAATTCTCTTAAAAGATAAGTGACTTTGGTTTTAAAGATGCACATGCTGTTCTTCTTGAGTATTTGTTTTCAGCAAGGGAGGAACCCAAGTGATATGCACACAAGGGATAAACTCCCTTTCCCTCATTTCCTTTATAGGGAAGCCACCTCATCACCCCTTCCACACCCCTGAGGCACAGGGCTCAGGTGAGGCTCCTGATGTATGCCTGGGACAGTGGCAACCCTGCCTCACAACTCAGGTAACAGTCCTTTATCTAAGAAACTTACTTTTAAGAAACTTTGTACTGATTGCTCAAATACTGCGTTTTCATAACAGAAACTTGAGAATATGGTAAACACAATTTAAAAAGCTTCCAGTTTTCAGCACTTCAGCATAGTTAGCAGTAACTTATCAGTGTATTCAGTTCAGTTCAGTTCAGTTCAGTCTCTCAGTCGTGTCCGACTCTTTGTGACCCCATGGACTGCAGCACTCCAGGCCTCCCTGTCCATCACCAACTCCTGGAGTTTACTCAAACTCACGTCCATTGAGTTGGTGATGCCATCCAACCATCTCATCCTCTGTCGTCCCTTTCTCCTCCCACCTTCAATCTTTCCCAGCATCAGGGTCTTTTCCAATGAGTCATCTTCACATGAAGTGGCCAAAGTATTGGAGTCTCAGCTTCAACATCAGTCCTTCCAATGAATATTCAGAGCTGATTTCCTTTAGGGTGGGCTGGTTGGATCTCCTTGCTGTCCAAAGGACTCTTGAGTCTTCTCCAATACCACAGTTCAAAAGTATCAGTTCTTTGGTGCTCAGCTTTCTTTATAGTCCAGCTCTGACGTTCGTACGTAACTACTGGAAAAGCCCTAGCTTTGACTAGATGGACCTTTGTTGGCAAAGTAATGTCTCTGCTTTTTAATATGCTGTCTAGGTTGTTCATAACTTTTCTTCCAAGGAGCAAACGTCTTTTAATTTCATGGCTGCAGTCACCATCTGCAGTAATTTTGGAGCCCCCAAAAATGAAGTCTGTCACTATTTCCCCATCTATTTCCCATGAAGTGATGGGACCAGATGCCATGATCTTAGTTTTTCAAAGTTATAAAATATATCATATATATTTTATTATATAGCTTTACCTACCTAGGTATTGTTTTTAAATCTTTACCAATATAACAGGTTTAAAATGCATCTTCTAAACATTTCTTATATCCTGAGCGTGTTCATATTTTTAATCTGTTCATCAGCCATTTATATTTCTTCTTTTGTGGGTTATTTATGCATGTCTTATGCTGATTTTCTACTTGGGTATTTGTACTTTTCCTTATATATACTAATCCTTATCTGTTGGATGACTTGTACAGTGTGTAGTTTGTCTTTTCAGTTTATTTAAAATAAATGGTGAGTTGAGTAACAGATAGATGGCCTGTTACACCATGAGATGACATGTGGCTCTTAGTGACAAGCTCCATCCTGGGTAAGAGAAACAGGTGGGTGAGGGTGGGAGGAGGGGCTGATGAGGAGGAGTGAAGCTGGGATGGTGGCTGGATCATAATGGGTGGGGGTTGGGGGCCGCCATGCGAGTCAGGATTCCCTAAAGAGTTTGAGGCCTGGGCAGCGGCTGTGGGTGGAGATTTGATGGACGGACTTAAATCTGAGATGATCCTTTACCATTGCCATGCCTACATTCAGTCTGAGCTTGCACATCTAGATGTAGAGTTTGAGGAAGAAGTCTTTAGCAAAGGGAAGTCTTTAGCAAAGTGCAGGGGCTCTGAGTCACCAGCGCAAGGTCAGCCAGGAATGGGTTGGGGGAACAGAGAGGCCTAGGGAGGCAGTGTGCCAGGCCAGGAATTACTGGCCTGAGAAACTGAGAAGGGCTGGCTCTGAAAGGGGCCTAGGAAGCATAGTGTTTTCCACCGACAGATTCCTTCACTGACAAAAGCCTGTGGAGGATGTATTTGGGAAGAAGGAAAGAGCATAGAAAGAAGAAATGCAAGATCACTGAGGCCTAGGCACCCTGAGCTGGGCCTCACCTGGGTGGGTCTGCTGGAACCCGATAGGCTTTGTTCCAGACTCTTCTCATGTGTGTGCATGTGTACACAGACATTCAGAGTCCTTCCCTCTTCGCCATTCGTGGAAAGTGGTAGTAAAGCATCAAAGTAGCTGCCTGTCTGAGCTGCTTGTACCTTTCAAGTCATCTGCATTAATCATTTCAGTCTCTAAATGTGTGTTATTAGAAGAACTCTCTCCCAAATCATCAAATAAATATGCCTGCTACCCTCTGTGGTGAAACACATATACTCTTATCTAGACTTCCATTTCTTTCTAGTAAATTAAGTAGTTTATTAAACTTTATCAATCTCTTTCAAACTACAAAGCTATTCGTTACATCCAGTGAAATAACTCATCTTAAAATTCGAGAAAGGAAGACTCCTTGAGGTCCTCTTTTTTGGTTCCTCTTTACTTCCACTAGTAAATGGTACTGTGTAGGAAGAAACAGGAAGAACATACAGAAAAGAATGCCTATAGTTCAAGAAGAAAAAGACGGATAGCCAGTAGAAAAATAAGCAATGGTTAACAATCAGAAGGGGCTTCCCAGGTGGCTCAGTGGTAAAGAATCCACCTGCAAATGCAGGAGACGCAGGAGATGCTGGTTCCATCCCTGGGTTGGAAAGATCCCCTGGAGGAGGAAATGGCAACCCACTCCAGTATTCTTGCCTGGAGAATCCCATGAACAGAGGAGCCTGGCGGGCAGCAGTCCATAGCGTTGAGTTGCAAAGAGTCGGACATGACTAAGCAACTGAGCATGCACATATGCAACATTCAGAAGCCAATGCAGAAGAAACTCATTGAGTCAGTCAACAAACATGAGAAGTTGCCCATTATCACTGCCACACAGACACTGAAAATAAAAACCGAAAGATACGCGTGCATTACTCAGCTCACAATCCAAAATGGACACTTCAGCAGGAGAAGCGGCAGCCGCAGGTGGCCCTCAGCACCGGGCCCTCTGCACAGTCCGGGGCTTTGGTTCTCCTTGGTGCCCCCTCCCAACTGCTTCAACACAGGCCTCCCCTCAGAGGGCAGATGTGAGTGTTCAGGCTGCAGGGGACCAGAGTGGCCTCAGCTGTGCATTGAAGATGTGCCACAAAGGAGAGCTGCAGGGCCTCTCACCCTGTGCCCCGCGGGGTGCAGGGTGCCCTCCCTGGGCACCGCAGGAAGGTTGTGTGACTGTCAGGTGCTTGGGAACATACTTGGATCAGCATCTTGAGGCCTGTTAAGTTCGTACTGGCTGGCGGACACAAGCACGTTCTTCACTTTCGGCTTATCACAGAGCCAACTCCCTGATATCAGAAATGCAGGGAAGGTGTTTCTTCCTAGTCCCGAGGGAAAACTCAGTAACACACCCCGTCAAAGCCCCACAAACCCTGAGAACTCAGTAACACAGCCCATCAAAGACCCACAAACACTGAGTTTCTTGTACTTAAATTTCCACAACAGGACCCTAGGAAAGCCAAGAAAGAATGTTTCTCCGAATGCTCCGGAAAGAGCCAAGCCCACCTGGCACAGACAGTCCACAGAAAGGATGCTCGACCAGGCTGCACGGCAGGACCAGGACTGGTACGCAGGACCCACCAGCGCCAGCTCTTCATGCGGCTCACATTCCTGCTCGGGAAGCACCCAGAACTGGAGTACTTGGTGTCGCAGAGAGTGACCACTGCCTGAGTGTCTTCACCTCAGGGCATTGGCCCTGATTCCCAGTCCCACCTCCCTTACAATCCTGTTTCTTTGGGGTTGAGATTGGCTGCACTACATGGCTCATGGGATCTTAGTTCCCTGACCGGGGATTGAACCCAGGCCCTCGGCAGTAAAAGTAAGGAGTCCTAACCACTGGACCGCCAGGGAATTCCCCATGTTCCATGTTTGAATGTCCAGAGCTTCTCCTTGGGCCAGGTTCACTGTCTTATTACCCCAGGAGGGCAGGGAGAGAGGGTGGCTTTCAAGGATAGTTCTCTTTACTCTCTTTCACAGAGACAACACAGGAGCTCCACAGTGACTTGCAGATTAGCTCCTCAGAAAGAAAATCGGTCCCCAAAGCCACGCTTGGCTCAAGAATTCCAGGAGGAAACTGGCCACCACACCCGAAAGTCCTCATCACTTGCCAGCAGTTCCCTCCAGGACACATGGAAGTTGCTAGACCTGGGATCCAGCCCTTCTGGCCTCACTTCCCAGGATGACTCACCTCCAGGTAGGCTGCTGCTCTGTCAGTCCAGATGCTGGCCATGAGAATGGCAGTCCTGTCCTCTTACTTGGTGCCTGAGCGTCCCCCAGGGAAGGAGTGTGTCTCCCAGGCCCACATCCAGCTGACCACATTACTGCATCTACTGAGAGTGGAGACCACAGGTCACAAGGACCCTCAGCCCGCAAGGGGTGGGTGCAGTGTGGTCAATCTGTGACTCTGGGGGAGGCAAGTGTTCTGTGTTCTGCTCAGTCTCAGGCTGGGGCAGCCCATGAAGAGTGTGTCCTTGGCCCCCTGGGAAACTTGCTCCCGCTAATGTCATTGTGAGGTAATCAGGAAAATTCATCTGAAGGGCCACCACCTTTGGGGGAACTGCATGAGACTGAGGTGTAGCAAGCATGGTGGGTGAAGGGGAGGCTGTTTGAAGACCGGAGTTGGGGGAGTGAGCTTGGAGCCCTTTGCAGATCAGTATGCAGCTAGCACCCTCATTCTCAGCCTTAATGCATGACTGCCTCCCACTGTGCCCAGTGTGCCAATGGACATTTTAGGTTTTTCCCGATCTTTTGCCATTACAAATAATGCTACAGTGAATTAACTTGTACATGCTATAGTGTGTGAATTAAAGTATAAATGTAAATGCCAAGAGAGGGGTTTGTTCTGACCAAAGGTATATGCATTTCTGGCTTCCCTGGTGGTTCAGCAGTAAAGAATCTGCCTGCCAATGCAGGAGACACAGATTCGATCCCTGGGTTGGGAACATCCCCTGGAGAAGGGAATGACTACCCACTCCAGTATTCTTGCCTGGGAAATCCCATGGACAGAGGGGCCTGGCAGGCTGTTGCCCATGGGGTCACAAGAGTCAGACACAACTTAGCAACTAAACTACCACCACCACATGTGCCTGTCTAGTTTGGGAAGATGTTAGTTGGGCTCCATCAGACAGTAGCAGTTCACACCCACCCAGCAAAGGCTGAGAGGGTGTCCTTCTCCAGACCTTCTCCAGCAGTGTCAGTGAACTGTAATCTTTGCCAGTCTGATAGGTATCATTTTACTTCATATTTTACGTGTTAGGAGGTTGTGCGTCTTTTCACATGATTGAATTATGTCTTTTCCTTTTCTTCAGTTCTCTGCTCATTGGTTTATTGGGTTTATAATCTTTTTCTTATTGATTTTTATGAGCTCATTATATATAATGGAAGTTAGACCTTTTCTGAGACATAAATTGCAAATATTTTCCTACAGTTTTTCATTTGTTCTTTTACTTTGCCTATGGTGGCTTTTTGTCATACACATTTTTTTTAAATGTAATCTAACTTATGTTCTTGTTTTTAATCCTTTCTGGGGGTTTTGCTCCAGATGAAAGCTTTTTCCACTCCTAGATGAAAGATTATTCTGCCATGATTTCTTCTAACACAGTTATGGTTTCCTTTTTTCATATCTAAATGCATGATCCATTTGGAATTTTATCACACTTGTAGGTTATGAAATAGGAACCAAACTTTGTTTTTTAACCCCAGGTGGCAATTCAGATATCCTCCCCACCCCCCACCATTTACTGAGTAACTCACATTTCCCCACTTGTTTGAAATCCTACTTTCACTATAATATTAAATGTTTTGTATGTACTTGAGTCGCTGGGCTCTTGTCCTGTCCCGTGGTTCATTGGTCTCAGTCCGTCCACATGCAGTGCTGTTTGAATTGTTACCACTTCCTGGTCCCTCATAATGCCTGCTGACTTTGACTCTCCAATTGTGCTTCTTTCTCAGAGTTTTCCTGGTAATTCTCATTTATTTATTTTTTACTTTTCCTGAACAGCCTTTAGTCCCAGCCCCAAAACTCTGTTGTGACTCTTCTCAGGATTTGTTAATCTTGGGTCTTGCGTCCAGAAGGAGCTGAGTCCTCCTATTAGTCTGAGTTCTGCTTCCTGGGGCAGCAGTCACCCCTGTGATGCCTCCAAGTAGTCTCCTCTGATGCAGACTGGTCTGTTCTCCTCACATCTCCTGCCCAAGCTCATGAATCTGAGAAGGTGTTGCTTCAATATATATATTTTTAAAGCCATGCTGTCTTTTATATATATGTATATTGGCAGGCAGATTCTTTACCACTAAGCTATCTGGGAAGCCATTCAGGTACATTTTAAATTCAGGAAAGTTTTTGCTATACTTTTCATTGACTCTGTTGGAAGTTTTTGGTAAATGTTCATTGCCATTTTGCTGGTTTCCTTCCTCATCTTTTCTCATAGCACTTTTGTACCTTTATTACCCCTCATCTTTAAAAGAGGTAATTTTTCCTCTACCAAGTATTTGTAGGAAATGTGTGCGGGAAAAGAAACCAGGGACATTGTCCTGTCTAGCAGTTTTTTTGTTGGTGGTTTTTAAGTAAGTTTAGCCTGACTTATCTTTGCCCATTTTCATGAAGCTCAGCTTCTTTCCCCTCCCACCCGGGCATGCTGACTCCAGTAGTTACACACAGGCTCAGTAGTTGTGGCACACAGGCTTAGTTGCCCTGAGGCATGTGAAATCTTCCCAGACCAGGGATTGAACCAGTGTCCCCTGCATTGGCAGGCAGATTCTAACCACTGGACCAGCAGGGAAGTCCTAGTTGGTGATTTCTAACATATTTACATTTTGGTTAGAGAATAAGATCACCATGGTGTCAGCCCTTCTGAGAGTATAGTTTTGCTCTAGCTACAGTAACTGACATGCCTGCTTCTGCCTGTGGCACCCGCTCGTAGAAAGAGTGGTGCCCTTTGTTGTTCCTTTCCCTGGGTCTGAAAGCCTGTTCCTGTTCAGTGTCTCCTGTGCTTCCGCTACCACGCTCCTGGATCAGAGCTGTCCTCCAACAGCTTAGTCTGTGTTTTGTCTTTAGTGTGCTTTTAAAAGTTTTTATTTCCTCCAGTCTCATCAGGGAGATCACATTTCCATTGCCTTCTGCCTGTTTTTTTTTTTTTTCTTCTGCCTGTTTTTAAGTTACATTCTCTATGTTTATTCTTCCTCAGTGACTAAGATTCCACTTATTTTCATTTTACCCATCCATTTCTTAAATTTATCAGCCTCTGTATTTTTCTGATTTTCTACTGATATCAATGAAAGCATTAGCTGTTGGGCAGGAGATGATTGTCTTTTAAACAAAAGTAAATTTGGCTAAGTCCTTTATAATTTATCCTTATTTGCTTTCCAGCTCTCTCATAGTAGCCTCTTAGATATATTTTTATTCTTCCAAGGTAATTATAAAAGAGAATTTTTATATAGGAAACTTTGAGGCCTCTGTGTGACAGTATTTTTATTTGTCTCCCATTTACATATTTTAGTTGAGTGTAAACCCCCCCCCCAAAAAAAATAAAATAAAACCCCAGGCTTCCATTTCTCATAACGTAGCAGGCTGGGTAGCTGGATTAATACTGTCACTGAGAACAACTAACACTACTAAATAAAAAGTAAAGACAAGCTTATAAGGCATCAGTAAATAGCAGGAAGGTAAAGAATTCTCAAGCAAAGGCTGAGAGGAGCAACCTGAGGCTGCCTTTGACCAGGGACTTTGCCAGCCTGGGTGGGCTTGAAATCTGGTGTTGTCATCTCTCTGGCTTCAGAAAACAGGTGATGGTGATGAAACCCAGGCCTACCCAGGGCAGGAATGTGATGGCGCAATCCCCCCCACCTCCCAAAGCTGGAACTCCAAGGACCATAGTCTCCGTGTGCACGTGGACAGGTAGACCCCCACCGCCATCAGGGGCAGGGATGTGAGGACTGAGGCCATGATCTGGCACTGAGTGACAAAGGGAAGATTGTTACATATGTTAATAATTTGCCACCAAGAGTCAGTCCTCATGGTTTAGTCCCAGTTAACCCCTAGGTGCCTAGAACTTTCATTTCAAGAGGTTGTGAGCTGGTGGCATCCCCAAGAACTAGCAACAACAAGTGGAGGGTCACTTCAGGGGGAATCACCTTTATCCCAGGCCGTAGAAAATTTGCATAAATCAGATTCCTGTGAAAAATAAGATCCCACACACGAGGTACAAGGCACCAGGAATGAGGCCAGCATAAGCGGACCTGGGAAATCAGCGTATAAGTAACTGTATTTCTTTTTCTTTTTTTTTTTTTACCAAGATATCAGGATGTTTATTAGTATCATGGAATTTAGAGCAAAGAACTAGAGGAATGGACATTGAGACCAACTCCAAATAATACATTTAAAAATAAATATTATATTAACTAGGATCATCCTTTCTTTCACTATTATATTTCATAATCCTCTTCTGATAACATTACCTCCCTAAAACAACCCTCAAGGACATGGGATGACTAAGTAACTGTATTTCATAATGAAGTAAAATACCAGCAAGAAATACATTTAGGAAGCAAGGAAATATAAAGAAAGACCAAGCAGACTTAAAAAAGAACCAAATAGAGGTCTAATAAATGAAAAATTTAATTACTGAAATTAAAAACTCAGTGGATGAGCTTAACAGCAGGGTATGTACCACAGAATTCATGAAACGATGTTACATATGAATAAATTACCCAGAGACACACAGATTTAAAAAAAAGAAATAGAAAAGAGAGAAAAACAGATCAGGAGCCTGGAGGCTAGAGTAAGAAGGTATGACCCGTGTTGGTCAGAGCTTTAGCGGGAGAGAGAAGATGGGCAGGGGCCACATTTGAAGTGACAGGGCTGAAGTAGTATGGCAAGATAGTCATTTCAACCCTAGGAAGTCTGTCAAATCCCAATCCAAATAATTAAAGGAAACCCACACCTGGATCTGTCCTAACAAAGCATCAGCGGTGATGACATTGTTTTGAAAACTGGCAGAGGAAGTAGAGAAGTTACCCTCAAAGAGACATGCCTGAGGAATACTGGACTTTTCACCAGCCACAGTGGGGAGCCTGAGACAGGGAGACAGTATCTGTCTGAGCTGAAGACAGCTGTCACCCTAGAATCCCACTAAAGAGGGCAAAACAAAGACTTTTCAGACAGTAAAAACCGAGCAACTTTGCCCCACACATCCCTCT